CATCCTTGTCTTGTCCCAGATTTTAGTGGGAAGCTTTTGAGTTTTCACCGTTGAGACTATGCTGGCTGTAGGTTTGTCATATATAGCTTTTATTATGTTGAGATATGTTCCCTCTATACCCACTTTGGCGAGAGTTTTTATCATAAATGGGTGTTGAATTTTATCAAATGCTTTTTCTGCATCAATTGAGATGGTCATGTGGTTTTTGTCCTTTCTCTTGTTGATGTGATGTATTACATTGATTGATTTGCGTATGTTGAACCAGCCTTGTGTCCCTGGGATGAACCCCACTTGGTCATGATGTATAATCTTTTTTATGTGTTGTTGGATTCTATTTGCTAAAATTTTGGTGAGGATTTTGGCGTCTATGTTCATCAGTGATATTGGCATGATTAGAAGTTTTAAAAGATCAGTTTGATTATGTTCAAAATTTAGTATGTGTTATCTGGTGTTCTTAGCTCTGTTGTGAAAAGTTTTGAGAAAGGTGCTAATGAAAATGAGTGTATTTGTCTTGTTTAGATTATCTAGTAGAAATTAGAGTAATTAAAGGAAATTAAAGATAACTATTAATTTGATATATATGTATGAGATTTATACCCTCCCCCCCCCCCGCAATCTGGATAGATGAAGTTAGAAAAGTTTTGCTCACTTATGGACAATTACTTAAGTTCATTGCCTTAAACTTTATTAGACTATAGAAAAAACCTTTATAATATCTTCTGAAAGCTGTGCTGTTACAATGAATGTAAGTTGGCAAAATACATAAACAAATGGATTTTTTAAATATTTGAGTTCTTTTCTGAGTAATTGATTTAATAGGTCACAGGTCTTTATAGAACATTTAGATATGAATGAATTCAGGCACTTCTTAGGTTTTATTAATCTTTTAATACTTTTCTGAGATTATTAGTTAAGGAATTGGGATGGTTGAACTTTTCATTTTATCATTGTTGTAAATACAGTTTTTGAGTGCTTATGTATTGGAACTCCCATTATATTAGTCAAATCAAAGTCATCTTTTGGCTTTGTTCCTGCATTTTTTACTTCAGGTTTTGACTATACTATTCTGGATGGCTTCATTGACTTCATTAGGGATTAACTATGAAATTTTAAGCCTTTATTTGAAAATGTCCTATAGTTGACCTTAACTATTGGATTTATACGTTCAAAAAATAAAATAAGAAATATATGGGTTTTTTTCTCCTATCTGGATCACTTCATGTTTGTGTATAATTCTATAATTCCTGACATTTACTATAGTAGTCCTCCTCTTATTCATAGTTTTGCTTTTTTTGCTTTCAGTTACCTGTGGTCAACTTTAGCCTAAAAATGTTAAGTGGAAAATTCTAGAGACAGACAATTTATAAATTTTAGATTGTGCTCTATTCTGAGTAGCATGATGAGATTTTGTGCTGTCCTACTCCATCCTTTGTCCGACGGGTCCGCGCTGTATACATTTCCTGGGAAAACACTTTTCTGCCTTTCCAGCACTTACTCAGGAAGGCAAGTTCATATATAAATCCGTATTTGCTATTGCCCAATTTCAGACCAGCACAGGTTTCTCAGCTGTATAACAGGGCTCCTTTGACTCTGTAGTCACTTTGTAGCCATCTTGGGTTATCAGATCATTTCTTGCAGTATCACAGTGCATGTGTTCTAGTAAACTTTATTTTACTTAATATTGGCCCCAAAGCGCAAGAATAGTGATGCTGGAAAAACAGAATATGCAGGGTTTGACACGATCAGCAGTTTCAGGTATACATTGGGGTTCTTGGAACATATTCCCAACAGATAAAGGGGCTACTGTGTATGTGAATCTTTGTCATGCAGGAATTTAGAATTTTGTGTGCCAATTTGACATCCCTTCAGGTAAAGCTCAAAACTGTGTGGTAAAGACATCTTTCTTTAACTTGGATAAATATGAGAGAGAGAAAAAGACTGTTAATTGTGTTGCTTCTTGAGTTCAATTTTTAACTTTTAAACATTTTCCATATGTTATTGATGTTCCGTGAGTTACACAAATGATTACTATTCTTACTTCTTCCTCATTACAAACAATTTTTGATTTTTGCTAAAAAAATTTTTCAAACAAGAATGTGAGTTTTAGAAACTTATTTGTACTAATTTTCAATTTTCTAGAATTTTTTTTTCTGGCATGGTAAATTCTAACAATATCATTTTTTAGATAAATGCTTTGTGATTTTTATAGATAAACATTTTCTCATAGTTGGTCAGTTTACTCCTGTCTTCCTATAATTTTGTTAAAGTCTTATTTTTAGCAGCTATCAAAAATAAAACTCTTTACTAGGAGCGGGAAAATCTATGGAATATTAAAGTAAGGTTATTTTTAGGTAAACAGAATACTTACTTTGTAAGTAAAAGTAAGTAGTAAGATAGTATTTGTTAAGGCGCTTTAGGCTCTAAAGATAAAGAGTGAAAGTTTTTGTGTTTGGACTTCTGGCATTATAATGAAGTCTTGGAATTTTATGTGAGGTTGGAAACCATGCTATGTGCTAATTGCCTTACAAGGCAAGAAAATAAACATATGTATAGCAATTAGTTGTTAAGACTGTAGGCCCTTATATAGAGCCCCAAATGAATTAACAAACCATCTACTGAAACATTTCCACTTTAGTTTACTTTATTTATATATTTCAGACCAATCAGCAATTGCTTGAGAAAATGTTTACTAAATCTCTTTAATAAACATGATTGAGAGGGAAAATTTATAAACATTATGATGACAGTATACATTTTTATGTGCTAGTTGTCACATCTTTGAAATTGTATGTAAACTGGACATAGTCTAGCATCTGCAGAAGTGTATCTGTTTTCCAATGTATTTTACTATATACATTATAGAATCTTTATAGCTTAATATGATTTAACCCATGTGTTCTGTTGTCTCTGTTCTTCTAGGTAAATAAAATTGGATTTAATCTCTTTATAGCAGCTTTGAAATGTTTATATACCATGAAGTTCACCCGTTTAAAGTGACTGTTCAGTGACTGTTAGTACATTTACAGAGTTAGAACATTCACATCACCACAAAAAGAAACTTTGTACCCATTAGCAGTTACTCTGCATGGTCCCTGGATTCAAATGTGTATCCATGTTTCATAATGGTTTCAATGATATTCAGGTATTATGGCTACAGATGATATAATTGTTCCTAATTTGACAAATAATGAATTCATGTCTTTCTTCTTTGACATATGTACTGGAAGTAAGTCATAATAAGTCTTTTGCAGGTACTCTGAAGAGGGTCTCTTAAGCTTTTGTTCTCGTTTGTTCTAGATATATTGTTACCACGTTTGGGGGTCAATTCTTTAAAATGTTAATTAATTTTTTTCTGCTTTGGGTGGATGACATGTAGCAGATAAAGTTTTTAAAATTATATTTAGTAAAATGGAATCAAAAAAATGAGAAAACAGTTTTCTTCCTCTCCATTATTTATTCAGGAAGGCAAGCTCATATATAAATCCATATTTGCTGTTACCCAATTTCAGACCAGTACAGGTTTCTCAGCTGTATAACAGGGCTCCTTTGACTCTAACCCCTTGTGTCCATCGTATTTTCTCCCTGTCACTTGGAAGTAGCTTCTGGAAGATGTAGAGAACTCTCCAGACTTCTAGGACATACTCATATTTATTTTTTCATTGACGTTGTCCTGATATAATTAGGAACATTAGCAAATCCTAAATAGCTGAAGATATTCTGAAAATAGAGTGCTGCTTTTCCAAATTGCATTCTTCTTGTCCTCTGTACAGATTTCTGGCACGTTTTTCTTTAGATTTTTATAAACCCTTGAATACTTTTCTCTCTCCCCTCTTCCCCTGTAATACCCTCATCCCAAACATAAATTTTGTCCAACCTCCTGCCCCTGTTTAACTCTGCTGTCCTGACTAGTCATTTCGTGTATTCATTTTTCAAAGTATTATTTCTTTCTGCATTCTATAAACAATCTAAGACCACTTTGTATTATTATTGTTAAGTATAAGGTACATGACAGAAACTGTCACAATCAAATAAAATGTAAAATGTACCATACCCACCAAAAATATTTTGGTTCAGTCTTTTCCAGAAAGATGCACATATACAAAATAAAAGAGCACTGTATGTTCCATGATTCATTCTACAAAAAATAATTATTTTATAGATATGTAGCTTCTTGTAGGTCAATATTTAATTTGACAACTATAATAAACTAAATTGAATCTTTAAAATATTATTATACTTAAGAATGTCAACTAGTGGCTTTATTCCTTTGATAACTATGTAAATTAAAAATGCTAAAGCTCTAATCTGTTTTTAGAAACAATGATCAGTACATTAGTGTAAACTAAAAAATTTTGTTCAGTGTATTGTATTTATGTATGTACATGCAATATATGTATATGTGCAGTCGAACTAATAATTCTATCTAATAAAGCTGAGAAAGGAAAAAAAAGAATGTCAACTAGCATTTCTCAGGTAGATTGATATGTTTAGTGTAGTGGATTTTCATCTTTTCTGAGCTTTAAACTATTTCTGAAGAATTTATTTACTCATAAAATATTTGTATAAGTTTTGGAAGTTCATAGATTTCAGAAGAGTTTTTTAAACTCATGAAGCCCAGGTCAAGAACTCCTGTTATAGAAAATAGTAAGTTAAAATGATACGTAATTCCAGTTATAGTTCCGTATTAGAAAATGTCCATTCTGGATTTCTAAAAGTTTTCTGATTGTGACTATATACTTATTTTCTTGTGTCACTCAAGAATTGTTTTTTTGTAAAAATATGATAAAGTGGGGAATCAGACTCAGTGGTAAAATGATGTAGTTCAGTGCCAGTGATAGAAAAGCAGAATTCTATAAAATCATACAAATATTTTTAATTCATTTTTTCCCTTTTAAAAATATCTGTATATTTTCACTACCTGAATGTAACCAAGGACATTTTAATGCTAGTGCTTCTTTGTGAATATTCCCTAAAGTCATTTTTATTTCTGTCTGTCACGATGGTCACTATAATGTTTTCGGGTAGACTATAGCATTTTTTACTATTTCAGAAGAGCTGAACTGGGACAGTATTTTTTGGGAAGTTTTTTGTATAGAATGTAGTCATTGGTAAGAATTGGAATGTCCACTGACTTATTAGTTTCACAGATGCTTTTATAATACTTAGTGTACTCTTGGGTATATTAAATTATCATATTCTGACAGCAATCCTGAAACATGCCAGTCTTATAAAGCCACACTTCTGAGAACTAAAGTAAGGTGTCAGCGAACCATATCTGACATGCCATGTTAATTTCCATAACTATCATTACTGGAGGTGTTAGTATTTGTAAGGCATGGAGAATCTTGATAAATCTACCAAGTGAAAAATGGCAAAAAATCTGCCTTATCACTGGCTTTCCAATTACGAGGTCTGATTTCTCTCAGTCCTAATCAAATAATTTCAAAAATAATGGTAAGCATATTTCTTCTCTTATCATGGATTATAAAATAGTTACTTAGGTGTATAATATATCAAAACACAATGTTTTAAACTATTCTATTTTAATCATGTCTAGTGTTCATACTGTGAATGAAACCTCATTCTGTCATCTCATAGTATATTTACATATACACATGCTTTTTGCCTTAAGTAGAAAAGAAACAGCTGACAGATACATAGGTTAATTTGCTTTTTAAAATTGCAGCAAACTGTTCTGTGATTCTTGTGTGTGTTTGGGGCTATTTTGTAGAGAAAGAATTTTTCAAGCAACATTTGAGGGACATCGGCCTTTTGTACCCTTTCCGAAATAAACTTTTAACAGAAACCTACCAACTAAAGAATAAAATATTTCTTTGTAAATTCTCACCTGCAAATTATTGATAATGGAAGGAGCACCTTTTTAATCCTTATATTCCCCTTCTCCTCAATACAGCTTTTAGATTGTAGATAAACTTCCCAGCTCAGTAATTAACTGAGCTCAGTCATTGCACCCCATATCATGTGATTTTTTTTTTCAGTGGAATACATTATTAGAGCACTTACACAGCCAGTCTAGCTGCAGCAGCCCAGGCGGCAACAGCAGTGCCATTTTTCACAAAGAAAATGTTGAACAGGAGCCAAATGTTTGGTGGCAGTCTGTTGCTAGGAAATCAAGGTCCTGAGGCGATTAATGACAAAGCAAGCAATAACAAGAAGGCAGAATTACAGATTTAAAAGAGAAAAAAGTGGTTGGTGTTATAATTACCCAAAGAAATCCGCACTCATTAAATTGGCTGTTTTTATGATTGACTTTAATTGGAGGTTAGCTCAGATATTTAGCTCCTTTCCCACCCCTTTAAACACACACAGGCACATAATCTGTAGAACTGCAGACTTGTTTTTCTAAGCATTGAGAGGAGCTTGCCCTGTAATTTGATCCCCACTGACAGATGCATTTTCTATGCTGCCATTTTGAATTAACCTATTGTAGAACAATTTTCTTCAGTCCTGTTGAATAAAACATCCAGTCTGATTACCTCCGATGGATTTGATAGAGTAAAAGAATGTACTTCTCATTGAAGTAGATTGTTTGCATGGACTCTACTGATTTTGAACTCTGCCAATAAGCACAATCGTTTGTAATAAAATTTCAAAAGAAATCTATGAGGAGAAGGTAATGAGAGTCACCCTTTTACAGTTTAATATTTGAGCATCTGCATCAAAACAGTATTATCCTTATAAGAAAGTGTTATTTTTCCAATAAGATGTTCATATGCGTTTTAAATTTTTTTCTGAATCTTCATTTAGAATCTTATTATTTTTAGGAATAGAATCTTGTATTTATGTGCTCTAAAATGATCATTATTCCTCCCCACAAATAGAATTTTAATTTTAGGATTCAGTATGCTTCAAAGCACTCTATTGTAAAACTGCTTTTAATATATAAAATATTTAACTAAAATGATTTCAAGATCTGCCTGTTTGAATAAATCTTTGGTGTGTTTATTTAAAAAAAAAGAATTCCTTTATTTAAATTTTCTAGAGTTTCATAAAGCATATTACTAAAAAGCATTGATCAGTCTTTCATGTACAAGAAGAAGCATCACAGTTGATTTACCTTTCAGAAGCCTTAAGAATAAAGTTACATGATGCCACTGCTCTCCAGATTTCTAATCAAACCCTGGAACAAAAGAGCGAAGCACATTCTATCTGACAATACACACACTGCTAATCAGATGCCAATGCCAAGCTGTCTGCTTTGTTAAATACTTAGCTTCCTAGAGACAGGAAGACAGCTGCTATAAGTATGATGAATTTTAGTAGTTCAATCTATTTTTACTACCCTTGGGCTACTAAGATACCGTTAATTTAGACCACCCCAATTGGTACACTTTAGGGAGTATTTTAAAGAGTTTGTAATTAAAATGGTAAAACATCATTATTACATTGAAGACCTTCTGTAAGTTTTACATTTGGCAGATACCTACTGAGATAACCCCCAGCATGTAATTTACAATGATGTAATGGTTGTAATTGCATTTTGGAAAAAAGAGGAACCATAAGAGATAAGTGCTTCCTTTTGAAGAGTTTTGAGATCTGCATCTATTTCGTTTAGATCCACTTCTGTCCCAAAATTGCCTACCTGTAATTGACTTTAAGCAGCCATAAACATTAAACATGAAGATACTATCCAAATATTATTTAAAACGTTATCATCGCAGACACTGCCACCAGGGGGAGAAAGCTAAACTTAAAGTCCTTCCCTGATGATTATACTGCCAGCAAGTAGATGTGCTGGTTAGACCTATGTAATTAACTACTTCTCCTGATGACACTGCGTTTGGGGACATGGTTCTCAAATTGTATGTGAAATCTGTACTGACTTAACACACTACTTAAATATAAATAAAATGGAAACTTCCATCCCTCATGGGTTTTGTGTGTGTGTGTGTGTTTTAGAGAGAGAGAATGCAAATAAGCGAGCTGGAGATTTTTGTTCTTTTTTCTCTTATATGTCAATCTACTTGAGGAGGCAATCCTTCTGAAATTGAATGGTTCAGATCTATGATACTGGCCAGCTGTTAGCATATTTATTAATATCAAATAGTCACATAATTGATACACCAAATTGGATAGTCTGTAGGATAGTTTTCTAGTTTATGGTCCCTACACTATAGTTGTGGGTTTTTTTTAATATCTCTGGTAAACCATTAACAGTTCAATCCTAAACATCTGTATGTTTCAGGTTCCTTCCTTGTAGAATATTTGATAAATGCATAAAAAAGGTGCCTGGGACTAGAACCTAAGTCCCAACCATGAACAACGGCATAGTTGATCTCATAGTCACATGTGTTTTAGGATAACACCATGGAAAAGCTAATTAAATAACTCAGGTGTCTTTTCTCCAGTCTAGATCTCTAAATGGTTAGATTATAAGCTCCCAACGCTAATAACTTACAAGTGGTGACTCTCCTCACAATTTTAGGTTTTATTCTGTGAAGAATCATGAGTCTTAATTTTCACAGTCTGATTTTTAATCATTGAGATATTCAAACTACAAATGATGGGGAAGGAAAATCATAGGCTACAAAGAAGACACTCAGGTCAGTTTTGGGGGTGATAGAACTGTGCTATATGGTGCTGTAGTGCTGGGTACGTGATTCTATACATTTGTTAAAGCCCATGGAACTGCACATCACAAAGAGTTAACTTTATATATATATTTTTTAAAGATTGGGAATCCTATGGTTAGGGTAACTTTGACAAATGAATCAACCGGTGTTACAAATGATTGACATTACCTCACTGAAGGGGCAAGGAAACAAGCAGCTGACCTGAGTAACTTTGGAAAATGGTGCCTTGACTGGAAAATGTGAAGTTAAATACAGAAGAACACCATAGAAACACTGTATTCTAGTTGGTAGATTTCTTAGAGGAGTATGAGTTAATAATTTTGAACCCACTTTGCATATATGCTGGACTTGGAGAAATACCTAGATGATGGGTGGTGGGATTCAGGTTTTTCACTGCCATGGATGTTACCAATAAGCAAGGTGGGGCGGCTAGAATAAACCCTGTGGTCCTGGATTAGAGTTGGAGATAATAGTATGAACTCATGTTTTAATATCTATAAATGGGTAGATGCAGAAATAATTACAGATACATGCATAAACCAGTGTTAGTA